TGTCCCAGCACCATGGCATGCACTCTCTGGTGGCCCTCAAAGCTGTGAGGATCTTAATGAGCAACTAAAATACCAGGGGAAAAAGCCAGGCGCTTGCTGATATTAAAGCAAATCTCATTACTAATGTTGTTCCTTGGTGTGCCCGCTGGCTCAGCAAAATGCCCCAGCTCTGCCCTATGTGTCAACATGCATCAAAGTCCTCAGCCAGAGCTTCTGACCAGCGAGCTGGGGTGTGATCAGATGTACAGCCCACACTGGGCTGCAGAATGAGAATATTATTCTCCTGATTTAGTGATTCGAGGCATGAGGAGGATGACATGAGTTGCCAGAGGTTGCAGGTCGGGTCTAGTGCTGCTAATGACTCCAGCTGGAGGGCTGGCACATGGGCACACGTCTGTTCGCTGCCACAGGAGTCGTCACCTGTTTTGGGGTGCAGGTTGGTAGCTGGGGAGCCCTTGCAAATGCAGCGGCTCATCCTGAAGTCTGCACGGGGAGGGAGGCAGGAGGGGACCCTGCGGCTGGGCTGAGCCCCAGCCCTGCTCTCTGGGCAGGCGGGACATTTCTGTAGCACCAGCCCTGGGTTTGGACACACCGGGGGCTCTTACAGCACCTGGGCACTGCCTGGGAGCTGAGAGCAGCAAGCCCCACTCCCCAGCCCTCTCTGTAGTCACAGCTGGGGGCAAAAGGTAGGATTTAAACAGCTGCTGCTCCTGGCCACAGTGCAGATGCTTCCTGTTTGAATTGGGTACAGATCAGGACCAACATAATATTTTAATGGGCTTGTAAAAGCATGGGAACCAGGTCTCAAAGCAGGCTGAGCTTGCCTGTTACTCCAGGCTCCTCCACCAGCTCCGGAGCCCTGTTTTGTCTGGGGCAGGGGAAGCACTTGGGCCAGGGAATTTTTATTTTCTTTCTTTTTTTTTTTTTAAGTTAGCACCTCAGCTACAATTGAAAAAAAAAAAAGCAAGCTTTGACTCTGGGCAGGGTAGAGCTAACTTTCCTTGGGACTACCCAGACAGCTGTGCTAGGTCAAAGAGAGATATAAAGACATCTTTACACTTATAGTGCCCCAAGCTAATTTTTTTCTTGTGCTGCTCTGGGCTATAGGAAATAGTGGTGTGAGGCTGTGGATTTCAGGGCTCTTCAAAAAGCTGAGCCACCTGTCTGCA